ATATAGTAAATATATTAAATGACTGAGTAAATATATAACATGACATTTTATTGTACAATGTGTATCTTTACATTTATATATTTAAATTTTTATACATAAATGCATTTTAACAATAATAATAATAAACCTGTTTTGGAATATCTAATTGAGCACACTACATATTTAGCATTTCAAATTTTATTCAACAGATGAGGGACATTCAATACTTGATATTCTTTTTTTATTATATTTTTATTAATTTTTTTTTAGAGAGAGAGGAAGATAGAGAGATAGAAACATCAATGTGAGAAATATCAATGGGCTGCCTCCTGCACGCCCCGTACTGGGGATTGAGTCTGCAACCCGGTCATGTGCCCTGACCAGGAATTGAATGTGGACATCTCAGTCCATGGGATGGTGTTCAGTCCACTGAACCATGCCAGCTGGGCTATATACTTGATATTCTTTATACAAGAATGGGCTCAGTAAGATACAGGTATTTAGCACTGGCTTGATAAATAGCTAAAGTAAGGGTAAAACTATGGTGGCCAAAGGGAGAGCTATGTAGGGCTCTGAACTTAGGTAAGGATATCAAAGACATGGTATTCTCTTCAATGACAGAGTTGAGGTTGCAAAATGCTGCAGCATGCTGGAATTATAGTTTTACACTATCCAACAATCTTTAACTGTGAATATTAAACATATATTACTTGATACTTCATTCGCACTGTTTCACATATATTATTTGATTTGATTGTTATAACCCTTGGATTTTGTGGCATTATCATTCCTCATTTACAGATTGGAAAAAAAAAAAGTTATTAGGGAACATGATCAGGATCATACAGATTATTGTCATGAATATCAGGTTTTTAGCTCAGGTCTTCTAACTAAATCGCTAGCCCGTTGCTTGTAGCTTCAGTCAGCTACTTCTGAGTAAAAGGTTGGTTGCCCTGTCTGGACAGAGAATCACAAGACTAAAAAACAGTTTCTCCACTAAAAATTATAAGGACTTTGGTTTGTTTCAAACTCCAGTTAAGCTTAACAGGTGAAAAGTTCACATAAAGTTTAAAATGAATTTAGGCTGAAATACCAGAAAGGAGGTGGTAAACTCACTTTAGCTTTGCAACAATCAGAAGGTTTCTGGAGGGGGCAGAAGGCAGCCTGAGTGGGGAGGTGCCTCCCCGGGCCTGCCAGGCAGCCCCTCTGAGGTGCAGCTGCTGGTTGAGGGGCAGCAAGGGACCTGGTCCGAGCCCACCCACTTCTGGAGGAAAGAGCCAGACTTCTCAGAGGTCAGTCTGTTCAACAAGCAGGACCCAAGGGCCTTCTGAATGTTCAGTAAAGAGAGCTCTCAGTGACCTCCTCAAAGGATGGCTCCATCTCCATTCTGGGTTTTGATGATGCCATCACTTGTATTGTGGTCCTGACGCACACAGGTAGTGAGCTACCTGCTTGACACATTGTTATGGAACCTACACCAAAGCTCAGGTCCCCTTGATCACAAACTCCATAGAATCCTTTTTCCAAACACTCCCAGTGTGGAAGGCTGGAAGTGCACCTTGTGGGTGGCTTCGGGGACATGGGCAGTTGTCATAAAAGCTTACTTATCAACTTCTTAGTGAATTTGGCAGGCGAGAAGATGACATTCACTGAGTGGCATTATGTGTGACAGAATTAAATGACTTGGAAGAAAATGAAAACACTTTCCAATAATTTATGGCACTGCTGTCAACACTAAAATTGCAGATATTCACAGAGCCTCCTTCCAAGATTGCGGTCTGGAGGAGGAGCTGCGAGCTGCCCGAGCTTTAGCAGGAGGCCCAATGACTACTATTTATGATGTAAAGACAGAACAACTGCATGTAGGACTGTAGTTCTGGGTGCCATTTCCACCCGTGGATTTCTGGCTGCAGCAAGATAAGCAAATGCTAGAGAACCTTTCACTTCAGTTCTGGCTGAGCTCCCCGCACACACTTTGCTGAACATACTGGATCTACATGTTGGGTTGCTTTTGCTTGCTTGTCTTTAAATACACATCTCCAACAAACATGCTATTTTCTGGAATTAAAGCTCTACTATACAAAAAACAATCCCCCGCCCCCCCCCCAAAAAAGGGGGGATCTTTTCTCCAGGAAGCTAAAAATAGTAATTACCAAAGTCAGCAACTTTTTGGCATGACAAAGACAATTGGTAGGGGTTGGACAGAATATGAATTTGGAACCTACATCCATTAAGTCTTAGTGTCTTTCAAATGACTTTCCAAATAAAATCTTATTTTGGTAAAGGGAAGAAAAAAGAATGTTTCTAGAGTGATCTCTTCACTTTTGTCAGTGTACAAATAATAATACTAATGTTGACTAGCATATACGGAGTGCTTACTATGTGACAGACATTGCATTTATTAACTATTTAATCCTTAGGTGTCATTGAAAAATCAGAGGTAGTTTCAGCAAGAGGAAAGAAGATGATGGTGATGATGGAGGTGGAGGTGGTGTGGTCAAGGAAGGAAGCTGAGGTCTGGAAACCATAAAAGCCGGCTGTGAGAAGACTTAAAGAAGAGTATATTTATTTTCCAATCCAAGCAGCACTATCATGTGAAAAAAATATGAGGTTTATTGGTGGAATGTTAGCTGTAAGAGAAAAGTTTAAAGAGTCAAAGTGACTGAGTTTCAGACTTGGGCTCAATAGAGCTGAGTGCTAAAATTATTCAAAAATGGTATGGATCTCTTTGCGAGATCCTCTAAGCCCACACAGAGGAAGCCTTAAGCAGTTCCCGAGTGATCTCATCTGTAAGAGATATTGTGGAGGGGACTCCCTGCCCAGAATAGAATGACCCAGACAACTCCCTTCCAAGTCCAAGATTCTGTGATTGCTAAATTTGCCCGAGGCTGGCACTTTTGGGGTAAAAGACTCTTGGGCAGCTATCAGCAGCCTGGGTAATGCAACCGTTAGTGCCTAGTACTCGACTGCCTCTCGTGAGGCCTTCACATGCTGGAAAGAGGCAGAGCTATTCTTTGGCTGTTCCCACAAAGCCAAGCCTTCTTAGGTAACTTTTTCCTCCTGTCTCCCTCCAGCTTGCTTGCTATAGAAATGCCCCATGAGTCCATTTAATCTTGCTTCTATCTAAGCCTCTTATAAAATGTTAATTTAGTCAGTTTGACTATTATTAAATCATAAGAGACAAATATGTTACCATTAAACGTAATGATTGCCAGCAGTGCACCACACAAGCCAGCAAGACAGGGGTTACTAATTTGACACCCTATTTTTGAGGACTTGCCAATCCCTGCTTTTTATATTTCCTTTATTGAGAGCCATAGCATGTTGGAGCATTTGAGAAACACCATTTGATTTTAAAGCTCCCAGATTCTGTGGGGCAGCAAAGCTTCAGCCTGGGGGTGAGAGACACTAAAGTATAGCCCCAGCTTCACTCGTCCAAACCATGGTGCCGAGAAAGAGGAGTCAAAATTATGAGGGAGGAGGAATGTAGTAAGAAAAGTGGAGCAGGAAGGATCAGAAATGTCAAAAGGGGGGGGGGGCTCCAAAATGGGGAGGAGCAACATGAAAATAAGAAAAGAAATAATAGATTGTCCCATGGTGGGGGAGGGGGGATTAATTTCATAGACTGGCATCTTGAGCTTGACATCTTTTCTGAGAATGTTTTGGCTGTGGTTTAGGCAGCTGTGTGCCGGGTGGCTGTAGACTGCATGGAGATAGATATTCTGGATTCAGTGCATTTCATGGTTATAATAAGAAACTGAATTCATTTTCTTCAGATGGATACCTTTAGATTGTATAAAGGTAAGAAGCACCTCTCAGCATGAATAAACTCCTCTCAGCAAGAACAAAACAGAAATACATGTGAAAGTTAATGTGGATTCATCTTTTGAAATGTTAGGTTTCTGGAAAAGAAAACAGGGATGTTTAATCTTCATTAAAAACAAAAATTGGTTTCCAACTCTGTGTGAGACTGAATTTGCTAAATACAAAAAGCATATGTAGGATGTGAAAAAATTAGCCCTTTTGTTGGGAGAGATGTACCAGGCTTAGATGTCAGCCTGGGAAGACTGGACACATATTTTTCCCACTGACATGCATAACTCAAGAAGCTGCAGCCTGCCCTGGCCAGTGTTGCTCAGTGGTGAGAGTGTCAGCCTGCGAACCAAAGAGTCATGGGTTCAACTCCCAGTCAAGAGCATTTACCTCGGTTGCAGGTTCGATCCCTGGCCTCAGTCAGGGCACATGCGGGAGGCAGCCAATTGATGTGTCTCTCTCACATCAATTCTCTTTCTCTCCCTCTCCCCCCTCCCTCCCTTCCACTCTCTCTGAAACCCAATGGAAAAAACATCCTTGGGTGAGAATTAACAACAACAAAAAAGAAGCAGCAGCAGCTGTGACCTGTATTTTGTCCCACTGAAGGTGGATACACATATAGAGTTCTAGAAAAGAGAAACAACTGGAAGTTTGGAGGTCTTACATAGGAGTGTTATTTATTTATTTATTTATTTGTAGGCAGAGCAGGAGGAGGGAGCGAGGGAGGGAGAGGAAGAGGAACATCAATGTGAAAGAGACACATTGACTGTTTGCCTCCCACACGAACACAACCAGGGCCAGGAATCAAACCTGCAACCAAGGTAGGTGCCCTTGACTGGACATCAAACCGACATCTCTTTGGTCCTCAGGCTGACGTTCTAACTGCTGAGCCAAACTGGCCAGGGCTTTTTTAAAAATTTTTTTTAAACATTTTTATTGATTTCAGAGAGAGAGAGAGAGAAACATTGATTTGTTATTCCACTTATTTATGCATTTATTAGTTGATTCTTATATGTGCTCTGACCAGAGATGGAACCCACCATCTTGGCTTATCGGGACAATGTTCTAACCAACTGAGCTACCTGGCCAGGGTACATGGAAGTGTTATTAGTAGGATTATTGCTCCCTTTAAATATAGCTTTTCTCAATAAAAATATCAGCACAAAATAAGGAATTTAACAATGACAAACATTTGTAAGACAACATACCTGCTTAGAGGACATGATTCCAAACAATGGGAACATTAGACCAGGTAGCAAAGCTGTTACAGACAGAGGCAGAGCTTCTGTAAGCCAAAACACAGCGATAACAATGAGTGTGTAGGCACATTCTGCTTCCTGGAAAGAGCAAAACACAGGTGAAATAATGAGGCTGGGAAATCATAGGTCAAATCACAATCTCATATGCTGAGTGGAGGCATATCACAGAGAAAGAAGAAACTCGGAGACCTCTGCACTTTGAGCTAGGCAGTAAACTGTTATTTCCTAGGGATTCCAAGAGCCAGAATTCAATGCACATGAAAAATCAAAGACATTAAAAAATCCTCATTCATTAAGTTTCTTTCACATTTCCCTCAAAACAAATAACAGCATAGAGTCAACTTTCTGTGCACATATCAGCGTATGTGGATGCTAGTGCTCACCTTTATTTGGCTGATGAAATGCACTCCCAGTTCTGGAGTGCAGAAATGGCCAAGTTACTGCCTGTCCCCTGGGACAGGACACGGCTGCCTTTTCATTGCATTCCTTGGTGCCTAGTTGTTTGGGACCCATACACCCCTGCCTTCCTTTCCTTCCATTAAAAGGGGAAAATCAACCTACAAGAAAATGTTTGCTGTACTTTGTTTCAGAGAAAGAAGGACAGTGCCAACTTTTGTGGCATGGATGAGACTGAATTAGCTCCTAAGTGACACAAACCTGGAGGTGAAGAAGCTTCTGCCTTGCTTTACAGAAAGACAGCAAGTTTCCTCAGGAGATAAAGGGAGACTCAACAGGATTGAGACTCTTAACAAATGTGTTGTTTTGCTAGATATAAAACCGTGAGTTTCTCTTTTAGGGCACTGCTTAAAAATGGTTGAAAGTTCATTATTATATTTGGCTTACATAAATAATTTTTATATGAAATCATCCAGAACATACTAAATGATCATTAAAGATTAGCATCTATTATATATAGCCTTGTTTTGTTCTCACACTGTTTAATCTTTACAAAGTCTGAGCTGAATTTGAAAAAATTACAAGAAATGTCTGAATTTAATGAAATCTTTTACTTCAGATTTTCCCAGGGCAATACAATTTCTAGCTCTGCTGCCCTATGACTCACCCACCTCAGGGTGAGGTCCTCTGGGCTGGCTGTTTATTCACCCAGAATCCCTGCACTTCCAGTGAGTTTCTAAGAAATCCTTAATAATGCAGGATAATATTATATCTTTTAATTTTTTTTAATTGGTTTTGAGAGAGAAGAGAGAGAGAAAAACAAGGATGTGAGAGAGAAACATTTATTGGTTGCCTCTCACATGTGTCCCAATCTAGGATCAAATCTGCAACCTTGGTTTTGTCCCTGACCAGGAATGGAACCTGCCACCTTTTGGTGTATTGGGGGTTATTCCAATCAACTGAGCCACAGTGGCCAGGGTTATATCATATTTTTAATGTGTTTGTTATCTTTTTAAAGGAGAAAAATAAAGGTGTTTTGATTTGATAGTTTTATATAAAGTCTGCCTCTATAATCTTGAACAAACAATAAAACAAAACGGAACCTTGACTGAATCTTCCTAACATGCTCTGGAAAGAATTTGTGAATACTAGCTTCATTTAAAATGCCAGTATAGGAGAAAGATCAGACCTGCACTTTCTCTTAGTTAGAACACACACATATAACCCAAAACCTCCTCCTGGTGACTTTATGTTTTCTATTATAGAAAAGTATCAAGAGCCTTGGCCATTCGGCTCAGCAGTTAGAGCATCAGCCCACAGACCAGAGTCCCAGGTTCAGTTCCCACTAAGGGGCACGTATCTCGGTTGCAGTTTGTCTCTGGCCCCGGTTGGAGTCATGTGGGTGGCAACTACTTGATGTGTCTCTCTCACATCAATGTTTCTCTCCCTCTCTCTCTTCCTCCCTCTCTCCTTCTGCTCTATCTGAAGATAAATACAAAAATGTCCTTGGGTGAGGATAAAATAAATAAAATAATTAATTAATTTAAAAAGAAAGGTATCAAGAACTTAGATTTTAAAGAAAATATGGACCCTTTTACTATCTTGCTCATTGCATAACCAACCACTCTCTTGGTCCTCTATCTCCTCACCATTTTACCTCTCAAATATCCCCCTCAGCCTTGACCCCACTTCTCCCACTTCAGGCAAGGATGCTCCACAACCAGATCATCTTCCAAGAATCCACTTTGATTGTGCTATTGCTTTGCATAAAGCCAGACTAAGGGGCTAGCCACCCTGACAACTATCTGGAGCACAAACCCAAAAGGGACTGCTAAATCAAAAATATTAAAAAGAAAAGAAATGAGGGAGGGAGGGAGGAAGGGATGGAGGGAAGGAAGGAGAAAGAATATGGTGCTAGCTAATTCTGTTTACCACACATAACCCCTCCCATGAGGGATGAAATTTCATTTCAACATGGATCTACTTCATCTGGTCAGTCATATTCTACTCAGACAGGGCAAATTTGGGGATGGAATAAAAAGCAAAACTTACAGTATTAAATCATTAGCTTGCCTGGAACACTTTCATATTTTAACAGGCCCAGCCCCTATTTAAAATAATCAAGTCAGTGATTTTCAGTAGTTGATTAAAAACAGTTCAAAATCCTCATCTGGCATTTAAGGCCACGTTCAACTATAATAAGACCACATTACTTCCTGACAGTAACTCTCTATTTTTAAATTGTCTTCTTTATACATCTTCTTGGCATTTGTGTTCCGGTCCTTGGTCTTATCATGTGCCCTTTTACTGAACTCTAGTCCATAATATTCAATCAGAAAGTCATACCAGTAAGTCCCCAGATGCCTGTACATGCCAGGTACTGCTGCCTTGACTGTATTTTGGACTCCTGAACTCTTTGACCTAGTGTGACTCTTTAGATGAAGCATTTGCAAGCTGATGGCCAAGTCCAGCAGAAAACACAGTTTATATGACTCACAATGGTGTGTGTCTTTGAGTCAGGATTTAAAAACCAACAGATTTCATATTAAAAATAAAACATAATTTTATGGCTTCTCTTTAAAAACTAAGGAATTTGGTAACATCGAGATCAGATTTTTCCATGTCAACAATTCTCCAGACTTGACAAAAGCTTACTATTTAGAGACTGATGTGTACTTTTTAGTTCTGTACAATATCACCACTCCATTTCATGCATTGTCTTATCTGCTTGGCCCTTCTGAGTATTTGAATAAAATATCTGATTAAGAAGAATGCTGCCCTCCTGCTCTGCTGGGCCAATCTTGCTTTACCATCCCAGAATCTACACTTGGATTGCTCATTTGAATTCTTTGTGTACCTGCTCTGTGGTCCATGGACCAGCAGCATCGGCATGATCTGAAAGCTGTGAGAAGTGCACAATCTCAGGCCCTTCCCCCAATGTACTGAATCAGGATCATCAAGTTCCTGAGGTGATTCTTATATAGACTAAAGGTTGAGAAGCTTACTTCCTCCTCCAGATCTTCCATTTTATCTTTAATTCTGTGCTCACATTTCAAACAGAAACGTGCTTCCAGGTGGTGTCCTTCTGCCCAAGCTGAATCCCTAGATTCACAACCTAGTTTGAAAACTTGCCCAACCTTTAATGTGCGGTTCAAACTTATACCTTGTCTGGGGAACATTTCATATTTTTGTGTTAGGAGTCCCTGGCTAAGGTCCCATATCTGCATTGTTCTTAATAGCCACCTTCCAGGAATTTATGGGAACTGCCTCATTTTTCCATATCTTAAAGAAGCTCAAAGTCTAGGAAAGGAAGATAACAGAATTATCCCCTTCTGAGGGGAGGCTGGCCATCTGTCCCAGTTTTCTCAGGATAGTGATAGTTTATCCAGTTGTACAGGTGTTTCTTCTGATTAGCAACCCAGGCTTGGCGTCATGGGCAAGAAAGTATTCTTTCCCATCAACATTCCTTAGATATTCAACAGCAAACAATTAATCCAGGCACAATGTCAAGTACTTTCTCTTAAGAATCTTATATTAAAATATATAGGTTTATTTGGGATTTTTAAATCAAAGATCTATGCATAGTCTTGTTAAAAAGAATAAACAAAAGATAGAGGAAAACATTTTAATGTTTCCTGTTATTTACATCTATAAAACTAATATGGGGGGATTAAATTTTGGTGAACAGTTTCTTCTGATGAAGAGGAAAATTCAGAAATTGTCTAATTGTGCTGAAACTCACAAGACATCCTACATATTTCATTCATAGAACCAGCTCTGAGTTATAGAAAAAAGTTGCTGTATTTTCTCATTGGAAATTCTTAGTGTCCCAAGATCTCAAGTTATACTATGTTTGTCTCCCATTGATCTCTTTCAATCTTTTCTTTTCCTCTCTTTCTCATCCTTCTTAGCAAGTCCACTATTCTTAAATCAGGACCACACCACCAGTGCCACCACTATACACCACACCACCAACACCACTACTGCTACCACAGGTCAACAAGGGTAAATCAATAAAAGAAGGCCAATTGTCAAGTACGTTGGACTGTGGGTGAACTGTTTTCCTTCTCAAGTCTGCTCAAAGTCGAGAGTACATCTGATATCTTTATTTAAATTAACTCTGCAACCATAACAACTAAAAATGTGAATCAAATTCTTTTCTAAAAATAGCAAAGCATTTAAGTATTATGAATTCTTGAACTGAATGGCAGCAACACAAATAATATTTACTTTTGCTTATTGTAAAGGAAAATATAGAAAGAAGATTTAAGATTATGACTAAGGCTGATCTTACAAAAAGATTTTTTAAATCATGATTCCTTTTCAGAATACTACATGAAGCAATAGGGGTTGGCAGTGGGTGGAGGGTGTAAGTCCAGAAAACTTCCTCATAATTCTGTTCAAAAACCTATATGCCCCCTAACACTTCAAAAGTTACATTCAGAAGTTCAGCAAACACACCATATCCAGAGGCAGTTGTGCAGAATACAAATGTTATAAATGTCATTACACAGTATGAGGTATAATGTCACTTAACAAGGGTTTCCTGTTCTGTATGTGTACACTGTACCTCTCAGAGTCATTTAGGGACATATCCACTTTTCCTATTGTAAACCAGAGAGATGAAGCTACGCAGACCGATAACCAATATGGATAAAAATTCCTGTTCCTGACATAAAACC